CAAATCAATAAATGTGATTCACAATATAAAGAAAATGAAGGAAAAAAGGACATTATCAATAGATACAGGAAAACCATTTGATAAAAGCCAACACCCATTTAGGATAACAATTCTCAGCAAAGTGGAATTAGAGGGAACACACCTAAACATAATAAAGGCCATATATGACAAACCCACTGCCAGCATCATACTCAATGGGCAAAAACTACAAGCATTCCCCTTAGGATCGGAAACAAGACAGGGATGTCTGCTTTTACTTCTCTTATTCAACATAGTACTGGATTCTAGTACTGGAAGTCCTAGCCACAGCAATCAGGAAAGAAGAAATAAAAGGCATCCAAATTAGAAAGAAAGAAGTAAAACTGTCATTATTTGGAGATGACATGATACTGTATGTACAAAGAAACCCTAAAGATTCCACTAAGAAACTACTAGAACTTATAAGTTAATTCAACAAAGTAGCAAGATACAAAATTAATATCCAGAAATCATTTACATTTTTATCTACCAATAACGAAGGAACAGAAAGGGAAATTAAGAAAACAATCCTATTTACAGTTGCTACAAAAAGAATAAAATACCTAGGAATAAACCTAACTAAGGATGTAAAAGACTTGTACTTGGGAAAGTATAAGACACTGAAGAAACAGAAGAAGATACAAATCAATGGAAGCACATACCGTGTTCATGGATAGGAAGGATTAACATCATTAAAATGTCCATACTACCCAAAGTAATCTATAGATTCAACACAATTCCTATCAAGACACCAATGATGTATTTCACAGAACTAGAACAATTATTTCAAAAATTTGTATGGAACCACAAAAGGCCCTGCATAGCAACAGCGATCCTGAGAAAGAACAAATTTCAAGGAATCACTCTACTTAATATCAAACCATACTATAAGGCCATAGTAATCAAAATATCATGGTACTGGCAGAAAAAAAAAACCAGACACACAGATCAATGGAAGAGAATAGAGAGCCTAGAAATAAACCCACACCTTTATAGTCAATTAATATTTGACAGAGGAAGCAAGCACGTACAATAGGCTATAGAAAGTTTATTCAATTAATGGTGTTGGAAATTGGACAGATAAGGACATACAGATGACCAATAGACATATGAAAACATGCTAAACACCACTAATCACAAGAGAAGTGCAAATTAAAACCACAGTGAGTTATCACTGCACACCTCACAGAAGGGCTATTATCAATAAACCAACTAACAGGAGTTCCAACCAAGATGTAGGCAAGAGGTAGATGTACTCTGCTTCCTCGTACAACCAAAAGAAAGAAAACAACCAATTCAAAAACAAAGACTACCAGAAATGCCAGAAAAATCAAACTGTATGGAAGTCCAACAACCAAGGAGTTAAAGAAATATTCATCCAGACTGGTAGGAGGGGCAGAGACAGGAAGCTGGGGTGGAGAGGGTACAATGACAAGGTGGCAGCAGGCCGATGGAGAAGGCAAGGTGGCAGCTGGACATTTGCATGAAGATTAGCTGGGAAGAACAACTGGGGAGCAACACAAACCACTGCAATCCAGGGTTCTGGCACAGGAAACTAAAGTCTCAGAACCTCTTGTGGTAAAAATTTATGGGGGTTGCAGCAGCAGAAGAAACTCCCAGTCTCATAGGAGAGTTTGTTGGAGAGGCCCACAGGATCCTAGGGCATACACAAATCCACCCACCTGGGAATCAGCACCTGAAAAGGCACAATACATTTGTGGGAAGCGAGGGAAGTGAGGGAAAGTGGGGCAAGAGCTGAGCAAGCAAGCAAGAGGCATTGTCCCCTCACTGACCCCTTCCCCACAGACAGTGCCACAATGCAGCAAAATGGGCTGCCCCACCCTGGTGTATACCCAAGGCTCCGCCCCTTACAACATAACAGGTGCACCAAGACAAAGACATACCAGATCGAAACTCCAAAAAAGGAACTAAACAATGAGACAGACAACCTATAAGATGCAGAATTCAAAACACTGGTAATCAGGAGGCTCACAGAAATAATCGAGTTCAGTCACAAAATGAAGGAAGAAATGAAGGCTATGCAAAGTGAAATAAAGGAAAATATACAGGGAACCAACAGTGAAGGGAAGGAAACCGGGAATCAAATTAATGATTTGAAACAAAAGGAAAAAAATAAACATCCAACCAGAATAGAATGAAGAAACAAGGATTCGAAAAAATGAGGACAGGCTTAGGAACCTCTGAGACAACTTTAAGTGCTCCAACATCCAAATCATAGGGGTGCCAGAAAGAAAAAAAAAAGAGCAAGAAATTGGAAACTTATTTGGACAAATGAAGAAATGGTCCCCAATCTGGCAAAGGAAGTAGACTTCCAGGAAGTCCAGGCAGCTCAGAGTCCCAAAGAAGTTGGTCCCAAGGAAGCACACACCAAGGCACATCATAATTATATCATCAAGATGAAAGATAAGGTGAGAATCTTAAAAACAGTAAGAGAAAAGGAAACAGTTACATACAAAGGAGTTCCCATAAGACTATCAGCTGATTTCTCAAAAGAGACCTTGCAGGCAAGAAGGGGCCGGAAAGAAGGATTAGAAGTCATGAAAGGCAAGAACCTACATCCAAGATGACTCTCTCCAGCACAGCTGTCATTTAGAATGGAAGGGCAGATAAATTGCTTCCCAGATAAGGTCAAGTTAAAGGAGTTCATCATCAACAAGCCCTTATTATATGAAATATTAAAGGGACTTACCTAAGAAAAAGATGATAAAAAATATGAACAATAAAATGACAATAAACTCACAACTATCAACAACTGAACCTAAAAAACAAAAACAAAAGCTAAGCAAACAACTAGAACAGAAATAGAATCATAGAAATGGAGATCACAAGGAGGGTTATCAGTGGGGAAGTGGGGGGTAGAATGGGGAAAAAGGTACAGGCAATAAGATGCATAATTGGTAGATACAAAATAGACAGGGGGAGGTTAAGATTAGTATGGGAAATGGAAAAGCCAAAGAACTTATATGTATGATCCATGGACATGAACTTAGGGGGTGAATGCTGAAGGGAGACAGAGTGCAGGGGAGAGGGGGATAAAAGGGAGAAAAAATGGGACAACTATAATAGCATAATCAATAAAATATGCTGTATTTTTCAGACTATAAGACATAGTCCCCCCCCCCAAATTTGGGAGGAATAATGGCTGTTAATGCTGCTGTTGAGTTCTGTTTACATTTACATTGGTGAAATATTATGTTATTTATGTTATTAAATATTTTACATTTTTTGCTTCAAAATTTTTTTCCTATTTTCCTCCTCTAAAACCTAGGTGCGTCTTATGCTCCAAAAATATGGTACTTAAAAAAAAAAAATAAATGAACAAACAAGTGCTGGTGAGGATGCGGAGAAAGGGGAACCCTTTACACAGTTGGTAGGAATGCAGGCTGAAGCAGCCACTGTGGAAAGCAGTATGAAGATACCTCAAAAAATTAAAAATGGATATGCCTTTCCACTAGTAGAACCTAGCTAGTTCACTTCTGGGAATATACCCCAAGAAACCCAAAATACAAATATGAAAGAACATAGGCACCCCTACGTTCATTGCAGCATTATTTACAACTGCCAGGATATGGAAGCAGCCTGTGTGTATCCATCAGTAGATAATGGGATAAAACAACAATGGGACATTTACACAATGAAATACTACTTGGCTGAAAAAAGAAAATTTTACCCTTGTAACTGCATGGATGGACCTGGAGAACATTATGCTAAACAAAATAAGCCAGCCAGAGAAAGACAAATACCATGTGATTTCACTCATATGTGGAATCTAATGAACAAACTGAACTAACATGCAAAACAGAGGCAGACTCATAGATGGAAAGCAGGAAAACAGCTGTGGGGAAGGGGATGTTAGGGAGTGGAAAGACTGAACAAAAAGGAAAAGGACTCATGGACATGGACAACAGTGTGATGATTGCTTTGGGGTGGGGGTGTGTATAATGGGACTAAATGGTAATACAAAAATAAAATAAAATCAATAAAAAACAAAATAAAACAAAAAATCCAGAATGTGTAAACTCCGATCATTCACTTCACCAATGTCAAGGACATTTAGAAATTACAGGGCAACCTAGAAGATAACTAATTTCTATTCCTAGGTAAACAATATCTTGATGCTCTTCTTTCTTGAACTCCCAGACATTTCTATACTAATTATACCCAAGATAGCCACTTTTCAAGGATAATTTTTATGCTACTTGTATGTATGTAACATTTCAGTTTTCTCCAGTGAATTTCAAATGGACAGTTCTAAATTTCTTGGCTTCCAGTAGTCATTTTAGAATCACTTATTTAAAAAGTAAAAAGTATATATATAAATTTGTATAGCAGAAATGAGAAGTCTATAAAATCAAAAATTTTTAAATAATGCTATTAAATATATACAAAACATAAACCAGCCACATCTGTTTTAGTAGGCCAAAGACTGAACCACTTCTAAGACAGGAGAGTAAAGAACACAATTATTATACAGATATTTTTCAGTATTTTGTGCAAAGTTCTATGGCTGATTTGGGTATAGACTGAATCCTAGAGATTTAAGTACTGTGTGTGTGTGTGTGTGTGTGTGTGTGTGTGTGTGTGTGTGTGTGTGTGTGTGTTTTGAATGAGAATTTGAAAACACAGGGCAGAAAGGTAGTACAGCATGTTTTTCCAGGAAGCAGGACAAAGTAATTAAAGTTCTTTCCAGACTTCTGAATTTTCAATTTCCTGATAACCTGTGAAACTACTGAAGATATGGATTGTCAATTTCTGCGACGCTCTGGCCATAAAAGTGTGATATATCTTATGACAACAGAGTGAGATTTTGGCTATATTAAAAAGACAAGAAGCAACTTTAACTGAACATCTGATGTAGAAAAAGTTAATAGTATATATTTACACTAAACTTACCTCATTTTGGAAAAAATATTTGAAAGAATATTTTAGTCTCATGTTTGTGGGGGAAGTTGGTAACTTACCTTCCAGATATAGGCAGCTTCATCACTTGAGCCACTGACCAAAAACTGGTCATCTGGACTAAGACTGGATTTAATATAAAAGGTCGAGTTCTGATGTCCATTGAAGACAGCCACTACCAGAGGGGGGGAAAAACAGTGTATTGACTATTGAAGCTGATGGTCAAGCTACATTCACCAAATATAAAGGAACCTGGCATTGTCAGGAAGTAAAGCAAATTCTAGAAAGAGGCTATATTATATTAGATCCAATCTCATGATCTAAACTCAAATACTTGGTATATGGCTGACTACAGAAAAGAAAGTATTAAGAAAACATTCTTACTTTGAATAGAGTAGATCTTCAAACATGTGTTGCATGAATAGGTAAAAATTAGTAACAAGAGTTAAGATTTATGGATAACTTGTCTGGGATGAGGGAATCTTTAAACCCAGCACTTAAAATAGGCTGAACAGTAGAAGGAGGTAGTGGGGTAAACTATATGGTCATATATAAAATACTCCAAATAGGTTAGGTTTAGCCTTTAGGTTTAGACTTCTCACTATACATGGTTAAAAGGGCAAGTTATCCAATCTAGCATAATGTGCTTGATAGGTTGTTCTATCTTAAGGAGACCAAATTTGAAGGCTCCAGAATCAGAACATTACTAGAAAGTAACAGAAAAAAATCCATTATTGGAGAACTTAAGAATACATTTAGGCAGGAAAAAAATCTCATTCCAATCTTCCAACAGAGGGGAAAGAATTATTAAGGGTCTGAACAGCTGTCCATTAGTTGTTCACAGAAATCCTTTCCTTTTGCTAGAATAAAACTGGAAAAAAACCTTTCTATCTAAAGCTTTTCAAGAAAAATACTACATATCAAATACTCTCCACATTAAACACTTTCACTGTGAAGTTACAAGCAGGATATGAATCAGTTCAGATACACGTAGTATAGACTCAACTACTATGTTTGGGCCGGTTAGAAACTGTTTTTGTGCTTTACTGAAAGATTGTATTATGAACAAACATGTTTCTAGGAATTATGAAATGTGTTCATAATTTGCCAATCAAAAAATACTGGTATGACTAACAGTCCACACTTGCTTAATTCTTAGTTTTCACTAGCAATTAAGGTTTCTAAGTGTTAAAAATTAAAACAATATACGCAGTTAAAACTACTAAAATAATAAGGGAAACATTCTAGTATGCAAGGAAAATTTGTGTTTTCAGTTGAAAAAAACAAACAAAAAAAAACAGTGTAAGAAATGGACATGTATTTTGTTAAGGGAAAACAAAGTGATTTTGTCCTAAAGAGCAGTTAAAAAAAGAAAGAAAGAATAGGACAAAATCTGAATGTAAAAAAGGAAGTTATAAAAGGTTTGTAAAATAGGAACCTTAAGAAGAGTTTTATGCATGGCCATGCTGGCTAACACTGAGATGAATTTAATCAAGTAGATGAGTTTTAATATCAAAAGTAACCTGATACAAAACTAGAATTTGGTTTTCTCTCTGTTAAAAGAACAAAGTTCAGCTGCCTCTCACATGCTCCCAGCTGGGTACCTGGCCCCCAACCCAGGCATGTGCCCTGGCTGGGAATCAAACCAGCAACCCTTCGGTTCCCAGGCCAGCACTCAATCCACTGAAGCCGCACCAGCCAGGGCAAAAGTTTTATTGCACCTTTGATCTGCTCTTGACGGAGAGATTCTGAATAGTTTTTCTTTACCTTTGAGTAATCTAACTAAAAAGCAGGAATTTTATGTTTTATCTAAGTAAACGCCTATGTTGTTTTAACAGGTCTTTGATTATGAGGGCTAAGTTTCACTTACAAGTACTGAACTTTCTGAATTTGCCTGTAAAATCTTTAATTGTCATCATGCTTAAATGAATAACTAAGCATTATATCACAGTGATCTATGATCCTATTTGATTATTTTAAAACATTTTGACAGTTTTGACAAACTTTCTATAATCAAATTCTAAATGCAGTCTTTTTGACCTCAACTAATTTTTCAGAGGGTCCTTGAATCATTTCACAGGATTTGTTCTTTTATAAAAAAGGAGATATGAAACTAATTAGGCTTATTTGTCATGCTACATTACATGGGAAACACTGTCAAATAAGTGATGATAAGACTTCTTAGGTTATATTATATGGGTGAATGTCACTAACTTTCAGATTATACTATTGAACTGGGCAAGAATTTGTAGAACTCTAATGAAAAAAAAAAATCGACGGCTTCATAAAACTGCTAATAAAAGATCAAGATCAACTGAGCCGGGGTGGCTCAGTTGGTTGGAACATTGTCCTGTACACCGAAAGGTTGTGGGTTCAATTCCCAGTCAGGGCCCATAGGGGAGGCAACCAATGGATGTTTCTCTTTCACACAGGTATTTCTCTCTCAAACCAATGGACACGTCCTTGGATGAGGATTAAAAAAATAATAGTTGCAGCCCTGTCTGGCATAGCTCAGTGGATTGAGCTCGGGCTGCGAACCAAAGTGTCGCAGGTTCAATTCCAGTCAGGGTACATGCCTGGGTTGCAGGCCAGAGCCCCCAGCAACCGCACATTGATGTTTCTCTCTCTCTCCTTCCCTTCCCTCTCTGAAAATAAATAAAATCTTTAAAAATAATAATAATAGTTGCATAGGATTAAATGAACTAACGAAGATGATTATAATTTTTATCACTTTCAGTTTGAAATATTATTGGATCTTTAATCTTTGTTTTCCAGATACAAGGACATTTTTTCCCCTCCTGAGCTACCCACGACCCAAAGCAATTTGGTAAATTGTACCTTTCTAAGCAGAATTAAAACATTTATTTTTTTCTTTCCACCTGAATCCTACAGAATTTGGAAACTCTTCGTGTTTTTTTTCCCACTCAACAGTGTTATTTACATAAGTTCATTAAGAATCTATAACAGGATATTATCCTCTCTGTAACAGGATATAGTTGGAAACATTGCTTATATTAGCAGGGCTTTGACTGGAATGTCATGTTTGACAGAGACATGCATAAACTCAGATATGACCCGACAGCTTTAAGGAACTAAGATTGAGTTTATAGAAGCCAATAAAGCCCCCTTGGGGAAAAAAATCAGCCTGGTACCTTGACTACAGGGTTCAGCAGCCTTATCACATTACTTCCTGGCAGGCATAGGAAACTCTGGATATTTTAGGGAGCTCAATAAGAGAGGAATGAACCCAAATCTAAAGGTATTACAAGTGAAGTCCAATAGCAAGCCTTTGGCTTGGCTTAGCTTTGAGAGGCTGTTGAAATTTGAGTCTGGAGATTCCTTATGAAAAGTTACATAAAGCAGATTTAAAAGATCAGTTGCCATTCTTGAAGCATTTATGTAAATAATCTGACCAAGTTTATTTAAACCAGACTTATTTTGCAAATAAGTTAGTCATAATTTGGTTATCTTTGATTAAAACGAGGGTGATTTATTTTAGAGAAAAAACAATTTGTTTCAATAGAAACCATGAGGCACACTTGCGGATATAAGATTTCAGTTCTACTGTCTACTGCTTTTGAGATTTTGTTTTCCACCTGTAAACTGGACTGGATCCGAATTCTAGTTTCCTCAAATATTTGGCTAACAACTCAACAAAGTAACATTTCCAATTTTTCTCCCACTTTTGACTTGGAATCACTGAGAACTAAAACCGTACTTTTCCCAAAGCCCTGCAAACTGAAGCTGAACTTGATAAACACTTAAGAGAGGTCACCACAATAGTACATTTTTAGACAACCTTTTTGCCTGCTGTTGTGTAAGCCACTCAGAAAGTTTATCTGAACACCTGATGACATCATCAAAGACATTTCAAACTGCAAAAGATGTTTCAACCCTGACATCTAGCAATCTTCTTGACTGGCTACTCCATAAGCTCAAAAACTGTTGTATAATTTGCTCTAACCATTAACCTTTGCTTCTCTTTTGTTTCCAAAGAAATGCCTCTTTATATTAAATGCCTGACTTCTTGTTTACACAATATAGACTGCTTTGGGAGACCACATGCCTCTCTGCCTCCTGAAACGAATTTAATTGGACTGACCTATTATTGCCAGGATGAAGAGACTGATTCAATGCAACAGAACAATCTATCAGCTCAGCTTCTGGACTGTGAACTTCTAAGGCAAGTTTCAAAGGCAGGACTGACTGTAGGGGAGCAAAATTTTCCACCCTAAACGTGTCTCTTTGTCATAAGGATTAATTTTAGTTTGTTAAAGAAACAGAGGGCTCCGGAAGTTTTTCTTGTTACCTCCCCTTTAACTGCCTAAAAGAACTTGGATAAAGGGCCTGTTCCCATAACAGAGATATCACCAGTTATCTGTGAAGAATATGGACTAGGTGTGGTGGGGGTACATTAGAGATCAGAGCCTGCCAAATCCCACTTCCTCTGTAAGGCCTAGTAAACAGATGTTTACCAAACATTTGCCTTTCCATCTCTAAGTGAATTGCCTTCTGCCCTTCTGAAGTGACCCCCAAACCACTACCCCCTTCTCCTTAGCTCAAGATGGCATAAGCTCAACTGCCCAATTTGTCGTTGCCACCTCCTCCCCCCAATATTCTTGTGGAACCCCTACATGTAAAAAATTAAGTTAAATTTTCTCCTGTTAATCTGCAACATGTCCATTTAATTCTTAGACCAGCCAGAAGAACCTAGAAGGGTAGAAGGAATTTTCTTTCTCCCTGTTAAGAAACAAAATATACAGGCTCCTTTATTCTGAATACAATTCCAAAACGGTAACTGTTCATCTTTCTCAACAACTCTAAACTATGAATGGAAAACTACAGATAATACTTCCCACTAAACCTAAAAGTATTTATTGCCCTCTGCTGGTACAAGAAAGGCTAGCATAAAGTACACTACTAATGTTTCAAATCAAGCAAAAACTCCTTCTAAAACCTATTGTGGGCTCAATTTTATTTTTCTTTGTTTGGGCTCTTAAAATGCTTCATTAAAGTGTTTCACAGCCCTCCTTATGAACATCACTTAGTATAATAAAATACTATGAATTAGAAGTATGGGAGATAAAGTATTGAGCCCAGGACCTTTTTGAAGCTTTGAGAAAGACAGCAGTCACCAGATGTGTCACACATACACACGTCTGTTACTTAATTTTAAAGAAACATTAAATCTATCTATCTACCCATCCATCTATCTATCCATCCATCTATGAGAACCAATCAAGTTATTTTAAGAACACAAGAAAAACATCACTGAATTATTATAGTGGTCTATAATATAGTACAGTGGCCTTGGGCATATCTGTTTGATGTCGGGGGACAAAGTGAACTCAAGGTTCCTTTTTGGTGCCACACTATAACAAAATGATAACTAAATTAGAAGTTGTCTAAGTTCTGATTCCATTCAGGAAAATAGAAAAGTGAGTTATAAAACTTTTTCCTTTCCCAAATACCCTTGCTTTTGTTTAGATAACACCAGACCTATTTCAGGGCATTGGAAATGCCAATTGTGATACTGCCACAGATACAAAGTCCTAATAATAGCTTGGGGGAAGTCTTTGGAAACTTTTGTAAGAGCCCCTCGAAGTTCTGTACTATTTTGAGATATTTTTCAGCACCTCTTATTTTAGTGGGAAATAGGCAGATCCAGGGATTGGTTATAGAATTCATAGTCTATAGGAAGAACCGGGTTACTAACATGTAGCTTGCCTAAGTAATTAATAATGTTCTTGAAACTATGTAACCCAAATAACCGTCTTAGACTATGCTTGAGAAACTTTAGTTTCTTTTTAAAAATGACATTTATCAGCTTCATATCAGATTCTACATTAATATTTTTTTAAGGAAAAAAGAGGGCGAGGGTGGGGAAAACATAAAAGAGGCAATATATATAGCCTCTAACACTGAGAAAGCTGAGGTAGGTAGGTATTATTTTGGGAGCCTAAAAACTTCAGATGCCTAATTTTATAAACAACCTGCAATAAGAACAAAAGCTGAGCAGAACAGCTTTCTCTGTCCCACAAAAATTACATAATTCATCAGTAGAACTAATCAAAGACTCTAAAACCCTTATATGTCTTAAATTTGGCTTAGAAAAGAACCAACATTAAATTATCTTTCACAGAAAAGTCTATTCTAGTTTCTGAGTAAGAATATGAACTATGACTTAGATCTTACCTGGAGAAGTCTTTAACCCAGTCATATTGAACATGTAGATGTTGTCATCTGTGCAGTTGGCAAATAAAGTAGAGCCAGTGGAATCCAAAATTAGACTTGAGTATCCTGGAAAAAGGAAACTTTAGTTAGCATGTCCTGGTGACAGTAAGTAGAAACAGGGTAAAAATGCTAAGGCCAAAAGATCATTCCACAAGAAGAACCATAAAATTCTTCTCCAAAGTATCTACAAACCAAAAACATTTGTTTGTATTTTTTGAACTTCAAAAAAAATACAACCACATATTAGAGTTTCTCTAGTCTATGTTGCTGAAAACTAGCTTGATATTTTTATTATTATTTTTTTAATCCTCACCTAAGAATATGTTTTTCTTCCATTGATTTTAGAAGAAGGGAGGGAAAGGGGAATTGAGGGAGGGAGAGAGAAACATGGATTGGTTGCCTCCCACATGCTCCCTCAACTGGGGTTTGAACCTGCAACCAAGATATGTTCCCTGCCCAGGAATCAAACCTGCAACCTTCTGGTGCATGGGACAGTGCTCCAAATACCTGAGGCACCCAGCCAGGGCTATTTTTAAATTTTAACAAAAACTTACATTCCCCAAAAATCCTACAAAAAAGTCCTATAGTCTATGAAAAAGCTTACCTAGTTTTCGAGTGCTGCTACCTGGGTACAGGAAAGACTTGGAGGCTATGGGTTCTTGTCGATAAGCAGTATAATTCTTACGTAAGTCCCATACTTTAATTACCCTAAAACCAAGGTAAAGAAATAGTTATTTTGTAGTCCTTTCCAACCCGACCAGTGTCAACTATATTGAACATGAAATGACTTTTAATCTAATTCCTCTGGCACACGAATTAGGTACAGTGAGGATATCTCATTGGGAAACAGACTGAACTGCTTCATACTGTTGTCTCCAATGTCAGGCTTACAATTCTGGCAGAACGGAAACAGATGTGATATGACCCAGTGATGGGTTACCTTGAGTTTACTTCAAGGGAGCGGAAAAGGAAAATGAAGGTTGGGTGCTGATAGTCATTGTTTCATTGTTTGCAGAAAAAAACATTTCCTATGCTTTTAATACTCTGTACATAACCTTTGACAGCATAAGTAACAAGCTGTGCCCATATGGTTATATTTCTATATGTAACTCCTTAAGTAATCTAAACGTTATTTTCTGTAAAATAAAGTTATTTTCTTTTTCATTTCATCTATTGGGGGTGGTTGTCTTAGTCCTCTACATCTAGTTTGTAGGCAACTTGAAAACACAAGTTTGGTGTAACGGGGCAGTATCCCTGAAAACAAACAGAGCAAGCACTCATAGCCATTTATAAGCACCACTGATAACCTTTAGATAATGCTTCATTTGTGCCTCAGAATTTGGTCCACAGGAGAGTTTTAGTGTCCAGAAGATACACTATTAAGTTATCATCTTTTTTTTTGCAGTTTAAATTTTTTTAAATTTTATTTTAATCATTGTTCAACTACAGTTTTCTCCTTTTTAACTCCCAAGTCATCATCTTTTTAAACTATGTTTTTTCAAGAGAAGGATGTCTTCAGAGATATAATGAGCAAATAAGGGGACAAAGAAGGGTGCTTAAAAAAGAAAGAGTCCCTATACTCAAATAACTTATATTCTAACAAAGCAACCAATCAAGAAGTACTACAAACCTACCTAGAAGCCAAAAATTCAGGCCAATCATGGATGGTACATATGTGAATTGAAAATCATTAGACCTTACTATCAATCTAGTTCAAGTACTCTCAGAATGCCAATTACATGCCCTGAATCAGATTCCTTCTTTTAGGTTAATACTAAACCCGAGAAGATAAAATCCAAGATAGTAGAAATTTTATGTCTTAAAATAAGAATCACTGACTGAATTATACTGCATAGATAAGCAACTTATCTATCCAGCGTCTCTATAATAGGAGTAGCCAACACTGCTTGTATGTGCTAGACAATGTGCTAAGTATGACACATGTATTATCTCAATTATTTGAGCAAGAGTCCGAACTAGATCTTTTCCAGTGTCATCTGCAGGTCCTCTTCTCAGCTGGATATTCCCCATGTTGAAAGTTAAAAGCACACACATTCAATTATAATGAGACTAGGTGACTTCCCCACAGCAGTTCATGAAAGAAACCTTATCAAAAGAACTGAGAATTAAAGAGTTACCCATCCACGGCTCCTGCAGAGACTAATGTATTCTCATCTTGAAAAAGGACCACGGTAACACTCTGCTGGAAATCCTAATAACACAAGGAGGAAAAAGAAAATGAATAAAGCCTGTTTTGGATATAGCAATTTTTACCATCAGGAGTTCAAGATGTTAAATGTTTTTTTTTTTCTCTCCCAAACTGAGTTAGACTAAATCTTCCCTCTCCAACAATCCTCATTAGTGCTGAGCAAGAAATAATTTTAGCTAGAAAATAACCTAAACATCACTAAGTTACAGTACACAGTGTTAACACTTTGACATACTAAAAAACCCCAATATTGATTATTAAAAGATTTAACTTGTTTAAACCTACTGGTTCTAAGAATCAGACATACTAATAAACTGTGTATCCTTAGGAAACTCATTGAACTTTCCTTTCTGTGTTTCATCTATAAAATGTCACCATCTGCCTAGATTACCACAGAGTGTCTGAAGAATTACCAATAAAAGGTAATTACAGGGGACTTAGGGACAAGAGGACAACATAGCTAAACACAGCTCACTTCCTTGCACAACCCCATTAAAACTACAACTAAATCGTAGAATAACCATGACTCACAACCACCAGAAATTGAGTTGAATGGAAGTCTGACAACTATGGAATTAAAGAAACCACACCTATGCAGACTGGTAGGAGGACTGGAGATGTGGAATGGGCTGCTCTCACACCCATGTGTGGTGGATAAAAATTCGGGTGGGTTATTTCAGGAGCGAGGAGTCTGAGCCCCATACCAGGCCTCTGAGCTCAGGATTCCAGTGCCAGAAAGATAAGAGCCCATAACTTCTGGCTGCAAAAACCAGTGCAGACTCAGTAGGTGGAAAAAACTTCTAGAGTCCCAAGCAGTAACTCTTAAAAGGACCCACACATGGACTCACCTACTAAGATTTACTCCCTCTGAGCTCCAGCACAGTGTTACCATCTGGACAGGCACCAGTGTCATACAGGGAAGAAGTGTCTGGCTTCAATGTGGGAGCTGGAGGGCAGTATTCTCCCAGACAGAAAGGCAGGCAGAGGTCATTGTCCCTTTTCTGAACTTTCCCCCACAGAGCTGCCAGGCGGGTGCTGTATCTGAGACTCCATCAACCTGGCTAACACTGTTTGCCCCGCCAGCCTAGACTCACAATTGGATTCTCCTGGACTCTCCAAGCCCAGCACAAGTAGCAGCCATCTCAGATTGCTTTATAGCCCAGGTAGGGTGGCCCTGGGCAAAACACAGGTTGGGGCTGACCCTGGCCTGCACCACCCCAGAAACTGCAGAGCCTCTGCATGCAATGGACAGCTAAAGACCATGCCAGAGGACCACTATTCTGCCCCTCCACAACTGATCCTCCACAAAGGGCAGAGGTTGGTGGTCAGTGATCATGGCCAGTCCCTGAAGCTGACTGGCCTGGGTAAATACCTCCTGTTGACTTGCCAACAGCAATCAAGGCTCAACTACAAGAGGAGGGAGTACTCAGCCCATACAAAGGAGTATATAGCTTGAGTGATAGGAGGGGCTGTGTCACTGGACCCTATAGGACACCTATTAGATTAGGCCATGCTATCAAGACAGGGAGTCAAATCAGCTGTACCTAATACATAGAAAGAAACACAGGGAGGCTGCCAAATTGAGGAGACAAAGAAACATGGCCCAAATGAAGGGGGGATGAATTGAGACAACTATAATAGCATAATCAATAAAATATAATTTAAAAAAAGATGATTACATCCTCTAAAAAATTTAAAGGTACTCAAAAAAGATTCTGCCTCCTAAAAGCTGTCAACAAGTTTTTTTGGCTCAGAATCTGATTAAGTGTCTGAAATGTTACTCATTTAACTTCATCTGGCCTCCAAAGATCTCATGCTAACCTTGTCAGTTTCCATTCATGCCTTTGTACTGTTTATGGTGTGCAAGTTTAAGTCCTAATGTTTTAGCAATCACACCTCCCCCAAATATTAAGTTCAATCCCACAGACCAGGAGTATTAGAAAAATAAACACATTAAAGAGAAACTGTGACTTATTTTTAAAGAAAAGTTTTCTGAGCACTGTTTGAACTTTGACTATCAAGTACTAGAGAGGTACTATATGAAAACAACAGGGATTCTTTCCCAGCAGAAACTGCATTATAGTATGCCAAAAATTCTGTTTAGTTTTTTCAGTAAAATAAAAGACACATTTTTTATTTTCACCAATAACTTTATTGATTTGGGTATTTTGAGTATGTTGGCTATCTCCTGCTATTGGCTTCTAGTGGGTAGAGGTTAGGGATGCTACTAAACATCTTCCAATGCATGATAGCCTTACAGCAAAGAATTATTTGGCCACAATGTCAATATTACCAAGAAACTTCACAAACCACTTTTGACATGTTTGAGCAATCATAACATCTTCTCCATACAATGCACAAATCTTTTTTTGTGTCTCAGTTGCATTTTTACCTTTCCTGAAACCATAAAGCATAATATGCCAAAAAATGTCGTGTATTTTCTTCCATCTTCAATATTAAAAAGGCTACACAAAAATTCACCAGTTTGATAAGTTTTTTTTAAATGGATGCTGATATCACAGCTGCAACAATACAATCTAACAAAACTGTTTCAAATTAAGTTAAAGACATCTAAGCACTACTAAATGAATTTTTTGGCCAACCCAGTATTACACTTGTTCAAACTACTCCTCCTCTTGTAGTGAATCACACTATACACATGCATGGAGTAAGCACATGCATGGAGACCACTAGGGATGAGGCTCAGGAAGCTGAATTTTTAACACGTTCCCCAGCTTCCTTTATTGCACACTAGGTTTTCAAAACCACTAGTGTAGGTATTGAGTTAAAATTAAGCAATAAGTCCACTGATATTAGAGAAAATGAAGATTCTATCCTATTGTTGATATCCCACACATGTACACAGTTATAAAACCTTACCACGGAAGGAGCAAGTCCTTTTGAATTCTGTTTCTTCTTAGGTTTTGAAGGAGTTTGCTTGTCTAAGGTATTGTGAGCACCACTGATTTGATTCACTTGCCTATAAAATCCATCTGCAAGATATCCCAAGGGAATTTAGTTTTCAGAACTTTATTCCTATGCTAAATGTAATGTTTATATATAGATCTTTCTTAGTGAAATTAAAAACCAACAGTGTTACCACACTATATCTTTTGTCATGAGATTATAATGCATAAAAAAGAAATAAGCACACAAATGTTTATAGCAGCTTTATTCATAATGGCCCAAACTTGGAATTAATCAAGATGTCCTTTAGTATGTGAATGTATGAATAAATTTTGATACATTCAGATAGTGACATATTATTCAGTGCTACAAAGAAGTGTGCTACCTAGCCATAAAAAAGTTATAGAGGAACCTTAAATGCATATTATTAAGAAAAATCCAATCTGAAAAGACTGCTTACTATAATTATATAACTTCGTGGGAAAAGCAAAACCATGGAGACAATAAAAAGACTAGTGAATGCCAAGGATTGGGGGAGGGCAGGATTCATAGGTGGAACACAGAGTATTTTTTTTAACTTTTTTTTTTAAAGATTTTATTTATTTATTTTCAGAGTGGGAAGGGAGGGATATAGGGAGAGAGAAACATCAATGTGCAGTTGCTGGGGGTTATAGCCTGCAACCCAGGCATGTACCCTGGCTGGGAATCAAACCTGCGACACTTTGGTTTGCAGCCCACGCTCAATCCACTGAGCTACGCCAGCCAGGGTGGAACACAGAGTATTTTTAAAGCAGTGAAACTATCCTCTATAATATTATAATAGTAGATACATATCATTATACACTCGTTGAAACCAATAGAATATATAATACTAAGAGTGAAACCTAATGTAAAGTACAGATAGACCACAAGTGATAGTGATGTATCAGTATAGGTTCAATAGCTGTAACAAATGTCCAACTTTGGTGTGAGATGTTATTGGTGGGAGAGGCTTGTGAGGATGGGGCACACCAGTACAGAGAGAACTCTCTATACTTTCTGCTCTATTTTGCTGTGTACCTAAAACTGCTCTAAAAAAAGTCTTTGAAAAAATATGTTTTTGAAATAAGAAAATAAGCAGAGACACGATCACTAGTTTCTGCTTAATAGCATCATTGGGCAAGGTAAGCATAATTATATTTAATCTAATCCAATCTTTCAAAGCCAAAAAATCATAAATTAAAAGGTCATTAATTAACAATTTTAATCCCATGAATCACTTAGGTAAACAGCATTATAGTTCAGAAGACAATATGAGGTAAATACAGAGGGTAATACTTGCAACAATCACTAAAATCATGAGAATTAGAACAGAAATGAAGGATCATGAACAAGTGCCCCCTGGTGGTTATCACATGAAATCAATGAACATTTCATTCAAAATAATCAAGTATGGGGACAGACCACATTTATCGAAATTAAAATGGAACTAGACTACCTTTTTTGTTGCACCTGGTGTCCCAGACCATAATGTTGCCATCTCTTCCACCCGTACAGAAGACAGCTATGGAGAAATAATTAATCAAAAAGTTAACAAAACTTGTTGATGACATATGTATTTCAATTTAAGTTTTCTAGAGTATCTTGGTACATGCTAGGTTCTATAATTGGCACTGGAAATTAAAAATTTTAAATATATGGCTAAGCAACAAATAAGAGAAAACAAAGTGTGAAGAGAAAGGATTATAAATAACTCAAAACACTTATGTTAAACAAAAACTTTATAAAATAATCGTGTAAATTTTCTTAAAACCACATAAAACACTATATACAAACACACACACACACACAAGAATAATGATAAACAGTAATAACAAAAATATGGAGTGCCTACTAAGTGCTATACACTATCTTAAGTGCTTTATATAAATTATCTTAGTCCTTGTTATCAACCCTATTAGGTGGGTATTATTATCCCTATTTTACAGCTGAGAAAACTAAGGTACAGAGAACGTAAGTAAACTATAAAGGTATTCTTCACAGTATGAATCCAGAGCCCATACTCCAAACCTCCAAGCTACTGTCTCGGTATAAAAATATGGACCAGATCCATACAAAATCTGTGAAAGGGGTTGCATCTGGGGATAAAAGACAATGGATTGGAGAAGAAACACCCACATGTACTAGCTTTTAAACTCTGGAAAGAAATATAAAAAATGATCTGAGGGCTCTATAGAGACTGAACAAAAACATGTACTTTTTGGAGGAAAGCCACCAACTAAGCAAGTGATTGGCTTGGGGTAAGTTACTCTTTTTTTATGGTTTTATCTTGAGGGAAGCCACAGTTGCAAGCAGTTAAAATGCTAATAGAAACACTTGCCATCTTACATGTCAGAAAAATTAGGAAAACGAAACATGGGGCAACAAGTGCTGCCAGCGTGATGGGGAACCCTAGAGAAAGCCAGAGAAAGGGAAGGCCTAATTCTGTGTTTAAATTCAGTGTAAGTCTCTGGCTGACCCCTGAACCATCTTTGAAGGGGAAAACTAAAGCAGCTTTCAACTAAGACTTAAATTACTGAACAGAATTGAGATTGAACCCACTGCCCTCTTGCAGGTTTGACAGTCTGCAATTTGCATCTAACTCAGTTAATTGCTTGTTAAAAACATCAACTCTTTCTAAGTAATATAACAGAATCCAGAGGGCAACATACTATTTACAGTACGCAGGATATAACCTAAATTATTTGACATATAAAATCAAGAAAATGAGTCCTTCTCAAGGGAAAAGAAATCAACAGAGGTCAATCCTGAAACAACTCAGAGGTTGTTTTATCAGATAAAATTGTAAAGCAAATAGAATTATGTTAAGTAGAGAAATTGACATTCACAATCAATGAAAGATGAGAAATCTCAACAGAAACAGAACTTACACCCCCCAGAAAAAAAGAAAAGGAAATTTTAGAACAAAAACACACAATTTCTGAAATGACAAAATTCACTGTATAGGCTTAAGACTAGAATGAAGAGAAGAGAGGAAAAGTCAGTGAACTTTAAGATAGAGCAATAGAAATCATTCAATTTGAAGAAAATAAGATTCAGTATTACACCAAGTGAAAGAAGCCAGTCATAAAAACCACACATGTACAGTTTCATTTATATGAATACAGAATAGGCAAATATGGAGACAGAAAGTAGTTTAGATTGTGTAGGACTAAGAGGCAGGTGGAAGGTACTGCTAATGGGTTCTGATTTCTTTCTGGGCAGATGAAAGTGTTCTAAACTTACACTGTGGTGATGATTGTACAGTTTTGCAAATAAATAAAAAACATTGAAACGTACACTTCAAATGGGTGATTTTTATGGTATGTTAATTATATCTCAAATTTAAAAATATTGAAGAAATAAACAAAGCCTCTCTCATATTGATGTTTCTCTCTAAAATCAATAAAAACAAATCCTTCAGCGAGGATTTAAAATAAATAACTAAATAAAAATAAATTTAAAAAATCTATGTCATCTTTCCTCTTGAAAGTTCCAGTCTCAACAGCAACTACAATACATTAAAATTGACCTTTTTGACCCCACTGTAAAAGGGGTTAAAGGGATACAAGAGAACAGGCACAAACCTACCTTTCTCAAACTTAGAAAAGGCAACCGACTTGAGGCTGCATTGATGACCTTTGCATGTTCCAAGCAGCTCACCAGCCTTTACATCCCAAAATTTGGCTGATTGATCACCTGCTGCTGTAACCTATAAAAAACATGTTATTACAATTTAATAAAGGACCCCTTTACCAGTACCTATTCAAATTCTAATAAAATGAGTCACTTACAAGTTTAAGTTCACCTGGGACCCAAGCCAGGTCAAAGACAGCATTCCAGTGAGCCATCCATTCTAAACAAAGAAAATGGTGAATGTGAAATGTCTAGACTATGTTCTGTGGTAGTCTGATCAATAGCAGTTTAAATGCCTTGAAAGCTGTATTGAAAACATCAGTGGTCAGCACCCTATGGACCATTGGCCAGAGTATTACAATGGAGAAGGAAGATTTAAAAACTAACATTTGATATCAAATCAAATTCACTTCCATTAGGTGACTAGTAATATATTCTCTAAAATGGAATTTTTTCTAGAACATTTTCCAGTTTAAAAATCTTCATTCTGCTTCAACTCTCTTTCTGAAGAGAGTCTAAAGTACCTTAGTTGGACATTCAAGGTTCTGCACCTTTGTCCCTTACTGCTGTCACTTTGTCCTTTATCTTTCACTGTCAAACCAAACTGGATTACTCCCTATTTCCTTATTATATCCAATTCTTTCTTATCCCTAGGATTTTAAAAAATTATTTTATTGTTGTTCAATTACAGTTGTCTGCATTTTCCCCCCACCCCCTTATTTCCACCTTCCCCCTTGGTTTTGTCCACGTGTCTTTTATAATAGTTCCTGAAAACCCTTCCCCCCATTAACCCCTTTTGCTAATGCTGTCCTCTCCACCTGGATTGTCCCATACCATCTCCACTGATCTAATACCACAGTCTAACTCAAATGCCCTACCTTTTATGAAAAAATTTCCTCCCCTTCTCTAGTACATGAGTGTCTTCTCTTGTCTTCTATAGCATTGTCTTTGTATGTTTCTATCATTTACCATCTTAGTTTTATTTGTTATTTCAATAGTTGACTTATTAGTTCCAAATTGTCAGTTTCTTAAGATCAGTAGAACTTTGTTTTATATGTGAAAGATGCTCGGTCAATATAAATATTTTAAAGCAATGCTTTCTCCCAACCACATTAAGTGTAAAAGATTTAACTTTTTTAAAAGACAACTGTTTTTAATCCTAAAATGTATTTTTCTTAATTTTCAGTAAAGTCATTGCCATAGTTAACATTTATTAGGAGAAACAGCCTGGTCCTTAAACAGACTTAACCAGAAGTAAATATAACTGGGAATATAGTCAAATGATAATTTACTCAATGCTTCACAAATTAAAAATGTTGGAACAAACTTTAGACTTACCTTTAACACACTTCTTTCTATAGGTTTGTGATTCTGTGTTATACAATCTAACAAATCCTTCTTCATTGGCAACTGCTAGTATATGTTTCATGTTGGGAGCTAAATAAGAAATAAAGAAAAGAATATAAAGAGTAACACAAACATTTTAAAGCTGATTACAAAGATATATATATCTACACACACATATATATAACATATATAATATAGATTAATTGAAAGCTACTAGATAAACACAAATAATCTATTTGAAAAGAAGGAAAATGATTCTACACAAATAGCATCTGATATGGTAGAGAGATAATTTAAAGTAAAAATTGCTTAAAATTGGCCACACTGTCTAATTTAGTAAGTGACTCAAAAGCATCAACATTATCTTCAGATAGCCTCTTATTCAGAGAAGCGGTGAATGAAGGGTGGTACTTAAAACACGAGTGGTGCTGGCCAATGGCAAAAGAAGTCATGTGATATATGCCACAAGCAGGCTGAGTCTATTAATTTAAAATTCCCTTTCACAACCTTTGACTTTTCCTGTTTTAGAACATTAACAGTGGTAACAAGTATTTATATTACTGTTCATTTGTTCCCCAATGCATTACAGAAAGATAGATTCACTCAGATCAAAAGTGCTACCTACTGGGCAAAACAGTTTTCATGATGGCTGAACGTTTGTAACTTTTTCCCTATCTCAGTTTTTTAAAAAGTCCTATAATGGTCCTGTGCTTTAGAGGAAATTATAATTATGTATAAAAATTTTAAAAAGTCTATTTCATAAATCAGGATGAACAGTTCTTGGAAAAATTCTACCACTTCTCTTACTTTTTTGTGTGTGTGAAATAAATCATTTTTGACCAAACCTCGCTAGACAGTAATTTTCTTACCAGTAGAGAAGGTGCATCCAAAAGGAGGAACTGGGACTCCTGTTTCTCCATAAGAAGTGTGCTCATCATTCGAGTTGCACTGATAACCAGTTAGAAGGGACTGTAGAGGGTATTGTGAAGACCACCCTAAAATAAGATACAATTCCTTACAGAATTTCAATATATCATCACATATTAGTACTTTTAACAAATGCAGAGGCAAATATTTATTTTAAAAGGCTTTATATACTTAATGTAGATCTACTCACTATCTATGGCCCTCTAGAATACAGTTTCTGGTATTTTCCTAAGGAAGAGTAAAAGAATGCTCCCAAATTCTGGTGAAGTATGTAACATTGGGCTTACCACCTAAATGGAGACTCGGTAGTACATTTAAGACTGCAAAAAACAAGTGAACTTTGCACATAAAACAAGTGGCCTTTGCACAGAAATCTTAGCTCTACCCCCACCCTTTGGTCATGACCACAGCCATTAAAACTGCCATTCTCTTCAATTAAAATTTTATGTTTTTAGAGTTTCTAATGCAACCTTATTATAAACTCTTAAGTTACTAGCAACATCATATAAAATCCAATGGTCATAAATTTAAAGGAAATAACTTATGTCAATGTGCCTACTGTAGCCATTAACATATTCATAAGTTGATAGCCCTGGCTAATAGTAGGGTCAGAAAGTCTTTAGAGGAGGTGAAATCAAACCTAAGTCTTGAAAGATGAGTGCTTCATTGAATAAACAAGAGAAGGGAAGAAATTCAGGGTAGCAGGAAAGTTTATTCTGCTTGGGTCAGAAACCTAATGTACACTATGGTCTAAACAGTAAACCATCTTCAAAGATTAATCATTTTTATATAAGGGTTGAAATGTTTTAAATATATGAAAATAACACTGATTTAATAAAGTTATGGAGAACCAAATGTTTATTAAGCATAGAAGGAAACAACTAAGTTACAACATATTGAGGCCTGTCTAAATAATGAACAAACTCTCACATTTTAGGGTACTTTCAATGCTCACTTTTCATCAAACAAGCAAACAAACAAACAGACACAAAGCTAGAGAAGACTTAGCCTGACATAACCTCAGATGTTCATAGAGATAACCTGAAGGAATCAGTACAAAGGAGACAAAGAAATTCAATCCAGATTTAGTAATTATTCTTGAGGGTATTACCTCAAGGTCAGATGTCATTTATAAGTCAGCCATTAAAGACCACCAAAAGGAGAATACAATAATTAGTTACATTGTAGATTTAAAAATATTCATCCACAGAAAGAATTTAAAACAAAGCCCTGCCCTGGCTGATGTGGCTGGGTGGGCTGAGTGCCCACCTGCAAACCAAAAGGTCTCGGGTAAGATTCCCAGTCAGGGCACATGCCTGGGTTGTGGGCCAGGTGCCAGGTTGGGGGTGTGTGAGAGGCAGCCAATTGATGTTTCTCTCCCTTTCTTACTCTCTCCCTCCCCTCTTTAAAAATAAATAAATAAGTAAATAAGTAAATAAAATATTTAAAAAAAATTTTTTAAATAAAACAAAGCCTCTGTTCTCAAGTTACATAAATGTACACTTGTGGTTTGGGACTTTAAAAAAAATCTAATGACTACAACACACAAATTCCAAAGAACTGAATTTCAAACATTTTGGTGAAATTAAAGACAATATGTATGTTATAGAGATCTAATTCTTTACAATTAAACAATAACCCTCTCACCTCTGCCTCGTCACCTACAGGCTAATATCCAAGCACTAACAAATGGCCTAACATGACTTAATAACTAGTTAGTCCCCTCCATTTCTGCACTCCTCACAACACACACTTCTTGGGCCAGCCCCTTAAACTACCTTTGGGTTCTTATTGTGCTTTGATCTTTCCAACATGAACTTGTAATGCTTCCCACCACAACACTCATTTGAAAAATCTATTATATACTCAATGTACCACAAATTACATGCAGATTTTTCAAGGAGTGTCTGAAGACACAAGTTTTCAGAGAATCAATTTTGTGATACTCAAATTCCACATATATGCATTCCTAACACTGATTTGTCTGATGAGGTTGAGGCTTTTTTCTCCTCTCCCTTCATCACTGACTTTCTTCCACTTTCAAAAGAAAGGCATTTCCACGGCCCAGTCTTACACTTTGCACTGACCCAAGGTATAAACACTTTTGTGACTCCAAATAAAAGACAACTGAATATTTCCTTTAATAAAGGCACACAAACACCCATATCCATTGCTTGAAAAGATGTACTTCCAGTAAAATTTTACTTTTTGCTTAGTAATTACTTATTGAAATTAATAATCTATAGTTTTGATCAATCACGTACTAATAAACTACAATAATTCAATCCAGAAGAACTTTTAACACTTACAGCCTTACAATTACAGATAATATCAATTAAAATTTTTTTACACAGAGGATTACAATAGGGTTATTAATCAATTTTTCAAGTTTACAATCAAATTATATTAGGGTAAATTCTGTGGGAGAAATAAATTCAAGGGCTAAAACTAACCTTGCAGAATACATAACAGTTGAAATAATTCCTATTTTAAAAAAATAACTGATGTGGTTATCAAATCACTACAAAAAGCATTTTAAAAGAATAATGCAGTGTTTTTATTTTAAAATGTCAATATTTACAAAACGGCCAGAAATTAAATCTTTGTATTTGTTTACACTTACGATAAAAAATTTAGATCCCAATTTAAAAATGCACAGACGAGTAATCAGATTTCCATTTTAGAAAGATCACTGGCAGCAATGTGGAGAATAAACTGGAGAGAGGGAAACTAAGAGGCCATTTGGGAGACCTGCTACAGTCCAGACCAGAAGACATCAGGGCTCCATCTGAGGAAATGTAATGGTAAGCAAAGAAGAGATCTAAGATATGGTGAAGAGGCAAAATCAGTAGGGAAAGAGAGGACAGGGTTAAGGGATTTCAAGAAAACTTTCTGGAGTGTATATTGAGGAAAATTCCCCATTTTCCACCTTCTTACACCACACACAAGAATAAACTCAAAATGGATTAAAGACTTTAATATTAGACCTAAAACTATAAAAATCCTAGAAGAAAACACAGGCAGTCAAATCTTGAACATTGCTCACAGCAGTGTTTTATCTGATACATGTCTTCAGGCAAGGGAAACAAAAGAAAAATAAACGGGACTACATCCAACTAAAAAGTTCTTGCACAGCAAAGGAGGCCATCAACAAAACAAAAAGACAACCCATAGAATGGGAGACTATATTCACTAATACATCTGATAAAAGGCTAATATCCAACATTTATAAAGAACCTAACAAAACTCAAAACCAAAAAACCAAACCAATTAAAAAATGGGCAAAGGACCTGAATAGACACTTCTCCAAAGAGGACATACAGATGGCCAACAGACATATGAAAAGATGCTCAATGTCAGTGTCAGAATGGCTATCGTCAGTAAGTCAACAATCAAGTGCTGGTGCGGATGTGTAGACAGGGGAACCTTTGGGCACGGTTGGTGGGAATGCAAACTGGTACAGCTACTATGGAAAGCAGTATGGAGATAACTCAAAAAATTAAAAATGGGTCTGCCTTTTGACCCAGCAATTTCACTTCCAGGAATTTATCCAAAGGAACCCAAAACACTAACTTGAAAAAACATAAGCACCCCTATGTTCACTGCAGCATTATTTATAATCACCAAGATCCAGAAGGGGCCCAAGTGCCCATCAGTAGATGAGTGGATAAAACAACCATGGGACATTTATACAATGGAATTCTACTCCGCTGTTAAAAAAAAGAAGAAAAGTTTACCCTTTGTGACAGCATGGATGGACCTGGAGAACATCATGCTGAGTGAAATAAGCCAGTCGGAGAAAGACAAATATCATGTGATTTCACTCATATGTGGACTCTAATGAACAAACTGAACTAACAAGCAAAAGAGACAGACTCATAGAGAGCAGGATGACAGCTATGGGAGGCAGGGTTAGAGGGTGGAGGGATCAAGGAAAAAGGACTTGAACATGGACAACAGTGTGGTGATTGCAGGCAGGTGGGAGAGGGTAAAAAGTAAGATTTTAAGAAAACTTTGTGGATGTGTATCTTGAGGAAAATGGGGAAATTTTGATTGTCTCTTAAGTTGGGAAGACTGAGTTTAAAATAATGGAACCACAGCCAAAAATAGGTAATAGTGCAGGTGTTGGGGGGAAAGTGAGTTCAGTTTTGGTATTTGAGTTTGAGATGCCCGTGGGACTGACCATCTAGGTAGAGACACTCATACAGGACTGGATGTAAAAGTCTAGAGAAGGAAGGTTGCAGGTGGTAGTGGAAGAAGCCCTGATTAAGACCACAATCATCAGTGGAAGTGGATGGAAGGAGAAAAGGCATCTAGGATGGAACACCAACGTGCAAAGGGAAAGAAGATGATGGCCCTATAATGTTCAGTACACAATACATAAGAATGAATAAATTTCAGAGCCTAACATGTAACAATGAATGAGAATTTATGAATAACAGAGGGGAAGATTGGAAGGATAGATTGGAGAGTTATAAGAAAATGTATGACAAAATCAAGGCTTGTCCCAAGTCGCCCAGATGATAAGGAATGCAGCTGGATTTAAAACTCAGGCATTTTATCTCCAAAGACACAGCTCTTCACCACTGTGTTGTACTGCCACTCATGACACAGAGGGTAGAGGAGTGACTCAAGCAAAGTCCCAGGGGAGACAGAAAGAGAGGATATTTAAAGTATGATTTAAAGGGTTACCTAAGAAGAAAAACAACCATGGGACATTTACACAATGGAATTCTACTCCACTGAAAAAAAAAAAGAAAAGAAAAGAAAATTTTACCCTTTGTGACAGCATGGATGGACAAGTGCTAGTATAAAGTTTTAGATGGGGGGCAGGAAATTGAAGGACTACTTAGTCTCTTCAAAATCCTTTTCCTAGACCAATGATTTTCAACTTTTTCATCTCATGGCACATATAAAGCAACTACCAAATTCTGTGGCACACCCCAAAAATATATTTTTTGCCGATCTGACAAAAAAAAAGATATAAGTTTTGATTCACACACCGGATGGCTATTGTTGTGTTGGCTGTTGGCATTTCCTTATTTGACAATCTAAGGGAAAAGAGGTCAGAGCCCCAACTAAATAGTCAGGTATTCCATATTTTAAAAATTCTTGTGGCACACCGGTTGAAAATCTCTGTCCTAGACTTACGTCTTAAACATAAAAAGTTCCCTTCTCAGATTTCCTTTGTGTTTTCCACGTGGTTTTAAGAAGGAAGATCTGTCCATTTTTAAATGAATAAAATTTCATTCTATCCAAGCTTAGTCTGGGTAGTAACTCCCTTATCAGAAAATTTCAGGTCAATGACACCCAAACCGAAGCTCAAAATTCTTATTGCCAATGTTTTAACTTAAGGAACCTCAAGAACTGTAGACAATAAGTTGGATTTTTACACACTAATACGGAAATATTCCTAAATTACATCGTTAAAGTGAAAAACAAAACACCTTGATACCATTTCTGTAAATAACAATACCACCTCTGGCATCTAAAAACATTTGGAAAAATATACTTCAATCTATTTAACAGTCGTCATTTCTGCGGGGTGTAGTAATGGACACTTTTCACTCTATAATTTGAAAATTTCATGCATATGAAGTAATCAGGGAGAAAAAAAAACTTTTTGACCATGCCAGAAGCAGATGTTCTGTCTTCTCTGTTTGACTGAGTTCCTTAACAGCGGGTCGCATTCACTGGTGTCAAATAAATAGTAGAGCTCACTCAGATTCTACAACAAATTAATTAATATGAATCTCCTCAATCTCACATAGCTGTCAAGAGAACCACACTCGACCCTTTGGGCGCGTTTGCACGCGTTTTGCAGTTAAAGTCTAATACATACATAAGCCGTAAAGGAAGCCATTTAAATCCATTCCCGTCCCTCCGCCAGCCTACATTACAACTTTAGAAATCCAGACTACGATTAAAAGTGTCCCGAGGTCATGAAAGTGAAGCTTTCTTCAGTCGTCTTTGCTAACACGAATCCATTCCGGCCGTAAGAGAACTCGGGGGCTGGGAAACAACTGGAGTCGGCCTAGGTCCGAGGTGTGGTTTAGGGGAGGCGAATCTCGCCAGCAACAAGCAGCAGTTAGGGCCGTTACTCACCATTTCTCGGGACGCCAAACTGGGGCTGTCGGAGAACCGAATTGAAGAGCATCTGGGCCTGGGAAAAGGCTCAACTGAATAAAAATGTCGTAGATATGTTATCAGCTTCAGCAGAAGTGGTGGCTTGCGTCCTTGTGAAGAGGACTAGTTATAGCCTCCAACTCCCGCCACTGTAAGCCCCGGCCACCAAACTCCCCGCCAAACTGACGTCACGCCCTCTGATTGGCTCTCACCGCGGCGTCCGGCGCCGCCGAGTCACTTCCCCCTCCAATCCCCGCCTCCATTTCTCCCAGCCGCGGGAACCTAAGAGTTCAAGAGCTCACTGAGCGCCTGCGCGGGGGGCCGCAAAGGCGTTAGCGAACGGCGGGTTGACCAGGACGCATGCGTAGCACGGCTTGACATAGCGCGGAGGAAAAATCCTCGAGGTGGTTGTAGAAGATGGCGGTGTTGGGACAGAGTTTGCAATCTTTCTGAATAGGCTAGATGAATAACTTATTCGGGTCATGGCGTCAAACTCAACTAAGTCTTTCCTGGCAGATGCCGGCTATGGCGAACAGGAGCTGGATGCTAACTCTGCCCTCATGGAATTAGACAAAGGTATTGGAAAGAGCGGGCTGAGCGACTGTCTGGGGAAGTGGCGCCACCAGGCGGAGGTAGCCTTGGGAAGGCGGGGAAGGCGCATGCGCGTAGCTTCTCTGGGCGGGCGCCCGTGCGTTTGGTGAATCTGGGAAATTGCCGCGTTGCTGGATTGGCCTTGGGCTAGTCGAACAAGTTGAGCGCTATAGTGAGGGTCCCGCTTTAACCACTTGGGAGCACAGTACCCCCGATAATCCGAGCAGTTTTTAAAAATGCTTAATTGAAATCGTGAAATTATTTTTTCAGGACGTTCATTTGAGATGAGACCAGGTTTTCACCAAGATAGATAAATAATCTTGCACTGACTTTATAGCGATTTATTTGAGTTCTGTAACTGTTTTTTGCGAGGTACTAGGCAGGTTAAATACAGCCGAGACCAAACGAAAACCATCCCCTGCTCATTTTCTGCAGACAATTGCATGGGTTCTATTTCCTTGCGGGGGCGATGAATGCAAGTTGGTGTAGTAGAGGGAGCTTTGAGATTAGATTGCATTGAATTCCCATCTTACTAATTTTATATTCATGGACGAGTCACCTAACCGGTTTTTCTCTGCAAAGTGGGTACAGTACTATTGAGCCGGCAAGATTGTTGTAAATACGAATATGGAAGACAAGGCCAAGTATTTGTCAATACAGAACTCAGGTGTTAAAATGAAACCTTTGTTTCTGTGTACTTCATTCAAAGATTCTTATTGAAAGGGGAACACATTTTGTCACCTGCTATACAGTGAATTCTTGATTAACGGTAGCCAATGTACAGTGTATTGAGAACTGGACTAAAGGTTAGAAGGATCTAATTTAAGTGTACTTTGAGCCATTTCCCACCTCTGGCTTGGACACTTTATTAACTTTTGGGGGACTTGTTTTGTTTGTTTCTTTTTTAACCTGTAAACATCTCTAATGGGTTGGTCTAGATAAGAATTTCTCAGACTTTTAAAAAAGCCTTTAATGCCTTTTATCAAAAAAAATCACAACACTCCAATTTGGTATTCCTTTGGTTGAGGCACAGAATTTTTAGTGCATCCTCGTCAGTCAGGAAAATAGGAGCTTTGCCTTCTCTTCCCAAAGCTATTGGGCTTTCCCCCTCTGAAGTTTAAAAATGATAACATTAAATGTGTTTTTTAAACATTACATTATCTTTTCCTACCCATTCTGGTAATTCCTTGCTTATTCCCCTCTGAGAGTTGCAGGCTCAAATACATAATTCTTTACGAATTCTAAAGGCAAGTTCTATCACTGGTTCAACGGGGCTCATCCCATAACTGTGGTACAACAGTGGTTGTAAAACAGAGGTTGGGATGAGGCTCTGAAGAAATGAGAAATCGAGAATTGTTTAACTCTTAAAAAAATGGAATTGTGGTAAAAAACAAACAACACAATTTTTCCCTCCGTAAAGTTGAAATAGAAATATTTCCGTTCTGTGAGAAATAAGTGGATGGCTGTTGAGTGTTAACTGTAAACTGGTGTCAGTCTCAGATATTAAGTCAGTGATTGTGTCCAGTCCTCCCAGCAGTGCCCTTGGGTGAGTATTTCACAGATGCAGCTCAGGCTTAGAAAGATAATTTCAACAAGACAAGGACAAAACTTCATCTTTTTCACCTCCGATGCTATCTATACCTTTTAAAGCTGTTAATAAGTGGATTATGAAAATAGCTGATTATTAGAATATAGATTAGTGTTTTAAATCTGAGTAATTTCATTCTTTACCTTTTAAAGTGTTTTGTGAGCCAAAGGCCATAGGGTCAAAATACTGTAAGTTCTACTTCAAGTTTGTATCAGGTGACCAATTTCATGCCATAAATTATTGATTCAGTAGGGGACATATGACCCACACTGAGCCAATCAAATTGTTTCGTGTGAGAATCTGTATTGCCAGACCAAACTTAGTCTGACAGTGCTGAGAACTGGACCTGTAAGGTCCTGTAGAATTGAGGTTAAGGTCAGACTCTTAACAACTCAAAGTCACATAAAAACCAGCATTAGGAAGGACTGATTCTTAGAGCCTAATTGGTGATCCCTTGATGGACCATGAATTGATCCAAAAAGCTAAGACCCTTCTTCAGTTCTTACTGAGATCATAGGCTCATTTTATGTTTGGCTAACAGCTACTTGTTAACTTACAAAGTGAGTTATTAAATAGTCCTAAAGGTTGGTATTTGTAAAGTAAAATTAATTTGTTTATGGTTCTAAATCAGTATTATATGTGTATGCTGCACAATATTGAATACAGTCCATCATGTACATTTACAGATAATTTCTGAAATTTGACAGAAGGATGTTTTATTATTAATGCATAACCAGTTGACTGTCATTTCAGGTGTTTCTGTTCCTGCTTTTTAGATATAACCTAATCTATTGAGACTTTGCCATTAAGCTGTGGGTTGCTGTGTCACCTTATAATGTGTGGTGCATACTTGTGTTTGTATCCCTCCCCCAATTTTTAATTAGTAAACTTGAAGATGTGTACAGATTATGATTCCACTTTCAGTCATCCTAACCACTTAGCTAAAGCAAATGTTTATGACATTCTCCTAAAATACGCTTGTATGGCAGTGTGTATTAGCAGTGTTCTTTGTAGTGGGTATTAGTCACTCTGGTGGTTACATCTTACCATCTCTTAAACACTCTTACTCTGCTTGAGGAATGTTCCACATCATGAGCCCTGTCTCACTAAAATTGGAGCAAAATCTCACTTTCCTAGTTTCCCTTGCAAGAACACAGGATGTAAACTACGCTCTGCCAGTCAGACAGACCTACAGGTTCGGTGATTTAGGAGTACAGGGATACAAGAAGGCACAGTTGAAGAGGACATTCACAACTCCTTGTTCTTGAAGTGACTGCACTGTTCCTAGTGTGTCATAGAAGCAGCACTAGTTGCCAGCATTCCTAGGTGACAGCAGAGCTAATTGTAACATCTGGTGTTGCATAGCAGTAACAGTTTCCTCATCTAATCAGTTTGGTGTGGTTTTCGGGGTTTTAAGTTTAGCCTTGAAAACGGTTAGTAGTCTTCTAGTGAACTCATTTTCTGTCTAATCAGGCAGAGTTAGCTTCTGTTGCTTGCAGCTAAGAACTCTGATACATACCTGGAAATGTGTGCTATTTTAATTGCACACATCACATAATTGCTACATAATTAAGGTACGTCACAAACCCCAAGTTTACCATGATTTATGTTATTCTTCCTCAGTTCCCTGGAATTTGTCATTCCTCAGAATTACACCAGTCTCAAATCACTAATTCAGATATTCCATTCTTTAATCTTAAATTCCATCTTTCTACTAGACATGCGTTGTAGCATAATGGTTAGGACCACAGGCTCCAGCCAGATTGCAGATTGCCATCTGTTGTTTCTTCGGCAAGTTGCTTAACTTCTCTTGGTCTGTGTCCTCATCTTTAAAGAGAGGATGGTAACTTCTGTGATTATAAAGTGAGGCTTTAATGCATGTAAAGTGCTTACTAGAGTGTCTGACACAGTATAAGGACTTGATATGCATCATCATCATCATCATCATGATTATACTATTTTGACCATTGTTTATTTTCATTCAGACTTCTGTATACTCATCTCTGTAGTTTCCCTTACTAGTCAGTCCTTTTCTTTTTTAACTTCTTTATCCAGCTTAAGATTTCATGATTCCTCAATCCATTAAGTTCATTTACTTTCTTACCAGTACTTTAAATTCTCACCCAAGGTTCTATTCTAGTCATGTGTGCCCAAAGGCAGCCAAAAATTGCTAGAGAAATCCATAAACAGGGTGTGTGACTATTATCAGAAGTCATATCAAACCCCTATTTGCCCTTAAAACAGGCCTACAATGCTACAGTGTTTCTTTGATCAAAATTTTCCTACCTTCTTCATTGACATTTCAGATCTTTAATTTTTTGGAAAAGAAGCCAGGATTTCCTGGATTTTTTGTGAAATCTCATTTTTAATATTGGCATTGAATTCAAAATCCTTAAAAACGTGTCTATCAGATAAAGTTATTCTGAGGACTAGATTCAGCAGCCTACTCTTTTCCTAACCCCTAGTATAATCAATATAGGCAGGACCAGTCAAATAAGACACAAGTGACAGAGGATAGCTTGAGGATCGAAGTACCTACCTTCTCAACGCAGCTAAACAGAAATGTGGGCCCTGCCTCAAAGCTTTGGTAGGTTTGGAGTCCTAGCATAGGTATTTTTGAAAAGGTTCACAATGTTTCTGATGCAGAACCAGAACTGAAAACCACTATTCTAGAAAAACATTCTGCACATTTTAGGTGCTAAATAAATTTAGAAGAATGTGTTTTACTACTGCCGGGTGAATTTTGAATGAATATACAGTTTACAAACAACCAATTTTAGTTCTCCCTAGTCTACCTGCGTGTTGCAGCTGAATTAAGCACTGTTTAACACCAGGCACTGAAAAGGAAGAGAGGTCTGTTTGGTGGGAAAATAAGAAGTAAAATGTAGAAACAGCCATGCCTCCGCTTCATCTCTGGCTTTATAGTGGCACTCTTATGATCATTGGACTTACGGTCAGGGCAT